TGAAAAAGAAACGTCATACCCGTTCGTGCTTTTATTTCTTTTGCTAATAAACCTACTTATAGAATTTGTAGACATTAAAAGAGAGACGGATAAATTTTTACATATATATATATATATATATAATATTATTACCAATGCTGTATGTTTTCTTAGACTTAAAAATTGAAGGGTATAACAGGAATTAATTTTAGTGTACTAGAATACCTTTATATCAGAATGACAAAACATATATTTCGTACATACAAACTTGTCCCATAACATTTGGATTTGGGATTGGAACGAATTATTTTTAATTAAATTACTTTTTTTGTATATTTCCAATTTATTTGCTAAAACATTCATATTATATGTTACCATACTAGGAGAATATGTTTATTTTTAAGATTTTAATCATTTGTAATCTGAGTGTCTTTTTACGCTTCTTATGGGAAAATCCTACTCTTTAATTTAAGACATGTATTGACGAATATTCTTACCGAAAACTTCTTTAAAACTACAGTTTTTGAAACGTCATTGCCTTTTGTTCGGAAAATCGTCTGCTAGAATCCCGTTAGGGTCAGAGAAAAATAATTCCGTATAATAGCAAAGACTATTCCAAAATGAACTATATTACTATTTACGCCAACTCTAAATTGGTTAGAATCTATAATTTAACAAAACTTTTAAAAAACTACCATACATGCAAAAAAGACGAAAATATAAACGTATTACAAACCCATTACCGACAAAGCAAACTTGTAATTGATATAGTATAACACGTATTGTAGACACACAGAAAATAACTTTAACTACTTTGTTGTGTTTGTTTTTATATGTTGTTTTCTATCTTAGCCTTCTTATATTTTCATAGTTTGAAGCATACTTGAATTTTTCCATAAGACGCGTAAAAAGACACTCAGAGTACAAATCATTCAAATCTTAAAACTAAACATATTCTCCAGGTATGGTTACATATAATGTGATTGTTTTAGCTAATAAATTAGAAATATACAAAATAAATAATTTAATTACAAATGAAATATGATAATTCGTTCCAAGAAAGAATTTGATTTAAATAATAGGATTAAAAAAATGGTAAACAAAAGTGGAAGACAATTTATTATACAAATGACTCAAGAACATCGTCAGCGATGCACAAGTGGCATTGTCTTGTAAAAAATAAAATTACTTCAAGAAAAGTTGTGAGTAATTCAATAGAGTTTTCCTGATATTAATGCTGTTTAAAAAATAGTTCCTAAAATACTAGATTTAAAAAATAATTTTCTGCATTTTACAAAGCATCTTAAGGTAAAACCTTCCTTTGCATCATAACTTTTAATCATTTAAACTTATTGGATTTTCTTACTGTTCTGGGTTTTTTTTTAAATAGGACATTAGAAAAAATGTTCCCTATCATTAGGAAATTCAAAACTGGTATAGGGCAACTTTTAGAGCAGATAATCAAAACAAGAATTCTGTTATATGTCGGAAGTACTAATTTCCGATAATTATTTAAATAAAAACATACTGGATAAGAACAAGGATTAAAAAAGTACTAAACTGTAAGGTGTATACCAAAAATAAACGTCTATCTATACTGGTTATCCTTGTTGTTAAGAAACATTGTGACGTTTTTTTCTATTTACCTCAACAATAACGTTTCCTCTTCCGTGTTCGCTCAACAAATTTTACCACAATAATCTTAAGAAATGGGAAAACATCTGTATTCTATGTTTATTTACATTCTTACTTTTTTTATGAATAGAGCCGATAAATAGGTCAGATTGTAACATTTATCCGACTAATGGACAACCTTGAAAATATCTAAGCACCTAAAATAATGCTCTACTTGTTCTGTTTAAAGGCGGAATTTGTATGGCTTTTGTACAAGATACTTCCGTGTTGTTTACCCACCATTAAACATTTACAACATGTTTGATAATGCTATTGTATTAGGAACCTTTTAAAGATACGGTTATACAGTACAACAAGTAGTACGAAAAAGGTCTCATATAAATTGTAAATTTTCGATAAATATGTTATAAAAAGAGAAAGTGCACGTAAACGTTAAAGTGCTAAGATTAATTTTTTATTCTTATTTTTCCCCTGAAAGAACAGTGATCAAAATTATCGTTTTAATTTACAAAGTTTAAGGTAAAAATAAAATGATAATTTCAATAAAAAAAAATATTTTAAAAGTACATGGGCTAAACGACGGGTGTAACTAGTGTAGAAGAAACTCTACCCTTTCGGAGCATCAGAGTTCACTACTGTTTTTCTTTGTGGTTGTTCAATGTTGAGTTTTCTATGAACTGTAACAGTTGTTCGTCTTTTCGTGTTATTTTTGGCCAAGGAGTTTTCTGTCGACCCATGATTTTTCATTGCTCAATGGTATTTTCTTAAATGTTTTTAAAACACATTCAAAAGTCGTTAAAATTGTTTTCCCAGCTTTTCCAAGAAGAAGTATTTATGAGTGAAACTATGATTGATCGGAGTCAAAATAATGTGGCATATGTCTTCCTGTAAAGTGATATCTTTAGAGATAGTATGTTAAACGCTTGTTTGTGTGGTGTAAAGAAAAGTTTGTTCTGATGACATCCAGGTTGTCCTGAGTCTGCATTTAATTTTTGCCTCTGGATATTATGCTCACATCGTGCAACCAATGCAATTGACAATTTTGTTATAGCTTATCAAGTTTAAAGTACCAAAACAAAGACAAAATAAAATAAAACAAAAGATGAAAAAGGAAAAAAGACAAAATTACTTTTCAAAATAATATTTGAATTTGTTCGCCATTGAAATGTATATAATTGATGCCCTTGGCCTTGTGGAGATAACCGTTTGCTGAATAGATTTAATTTAGAAGTCATCGACAAGGCGCCAATAGAAATGCACGAAAGCTGCACGTGCTTACCAAGAAAGGGTCAATTGGTGTTTGCAAACAAATAAAAAAGTTAATTTGTCTTCCTGGCGAACAAATAAGACAAAGCTTTTTGCTCTTTTATAACTATAATAGAATTGAAAGTTTTATCGGTTCTTAAACACCAACACACTATTCGTGGGTTTGCACTTTCAAAACTCTATCTATATACATGAGTGTCTCAAGTATGTTGAGGAATAAAGTCATTAGATAAAGTCACTTGTTACACTTTTTTCCTGGCAGTTTAAGCTGAATTCCCTCGAAAGTGTTTTTAAACGAGGACAATTATAAAAAAAGTCCATAAATCTTTGCGAAAATACACAGCTTTTCAGCTGCATGTGTGTTCTTTAAAATTATGTACAATTATGTCCAATTCAATGACAGAGCAACATCCCACGATCGATCACAAAAATCATTCATTAGATTCAGATTTTCACCAAAAAATCTAATGGGTATCGTTCATAATACGATTAAACACGTTTTTTCTAGAGATTATTGATATGTAAAGTAAGGCCGATTAATTTACTAACTGAATAAAATCATGTTAAACTTTGAACTTGTATTTTAAGTTAGTGAGACAACAACCAGGTCCCACATCAATAGCATCTAGACAGATGTGCTTCATCTTAATATTCTCAACCAAGTATAAAAATAAGATGTGGTATGATTGCCAATGAGACAGCTCTCCACCAAAGACCAAAATGACATGGAAGATAACAACTATAGGTTACCGTACGACCTTCAACAAACTTGTAGTATTAACTCTTTATCTTGACGTCTTTGTGATAGTCACTTCATTACTATATTTTCGTTTGTTTTTTTATTTATTTATTTTTTGCATATCATTTAAGATTTTTTTTTTTGGGGGGGGGGGGGGGGGGAATTACTTTATCTGTTCTTTTTGTTGGGATCTTTCAAAGGGAAAAATACACATACAGAGCTTGATAAATTGCAGAGATACTTGTCTCTTGTTTTAGACTGTATGTTGGCCTCTCGATGTAATTTACTTATTTGTGTGTGATGTGATTATCTTATTATTGTCGTTGGGGTGTTGACTCATTGACGTATACTCTAATTCTTCTTTTATCTATTCTTGCCAATCAATTAGTGTCAAAATAAACTCGTTCAATCTTACCGCGAGACCGCTTATGCTACAGATATAACCCTTTGGAAAAAAATTATGGACGCCATCATGATTTGGTTGACCGAAACAGATGACCACAGATATATTCCAATTATCTTATAGCCACAATCACAAATCCAGTCCTGTTTCATTGATTGTAACATCACCGAATGCGACATATCGCATAATTGTTACTTCCATGGGAAACAAACGCGACGGTAACCGCTAGTTGACTAGGATCTGCTTACCCTTTCGGAACACATGAGATCTGCCACGGTTTTTTATTTGGTTCGTGTTGCTAAATATTAACTTTTCTATGTAGTAATGGTTTTTGTCATTTCATCGTTTTTCTTTGTGGCAATGGTTATTTCTTTCTGTTTTTCTTCGACTTATGATTTTGTGTTGTCCCTTTGGTATCTTTTGACTCTTTTTATATACTAAACCATTAGGTGAAAAAAAAAAAAAAAAACAGATGCCAAATTTCAAAGGAAAACATATGAAATAAAACAACACACTAACATTTCTATCATACTTCTGACTCAATCAAGGACTTTTTTTTAGTAAGTAGCCATTATTGTTTTGTGGTATGGACAAAGTCATGTCTATTATTGAAAACAGTAAGTTGCATGACCTCTAGAGTTCTTGGTTTGGTTTAATGTATAAGTGGGGTTGAGTCTGTTTGACATATACTCCTTCGCTCATTTTAATCGGACTAAATACTACATGTGGTAACAATATGTGTAAGCAATCAAATTGAAAGCCAGTCATCGTCAGGACAAAAGAGAAATAACTCAATTTCAACTGAAATATAGGCATACAGGCCAAATGAAAAGAAATATAATTTCCTCAATAAAATAGGTCGACGCCACATATAGTGCAGGATAATAAGCTACCTGTCGTGCAAAACTTGATACCCCTCGTTAAATTGGAGTTAAGCATTCATCAGCGTTTATTAATGTCATGGTCAAGTTTATTAAATTTTGATTGTAGGAATTTAAAAAGTAGATCCTCTACTTTAATACACTGAACTATGTTTCACAAGTGCAAGTGGTGAGTTTGAAATGTATTTTAAGAGTTATTTCTTGTTTAGATTAAGCTTAACTCGGTGTGGTGTAAGTGTACTCAACACTTAAACTAGTAAACTCTATAGCGTTCCCATTGATAAAAATCAATGTTTACATGTAGTTTATATCAAGTTTTGGCTACGTGCAGTCGATAGTCAATGTAGGCATTCAGTGCACGTGGGTAAAGTGATAGATATTAATAACATGGATGTTATTATCAATATTAAAGGAAGTTACATATCTTGAAACACAATTGATTATAATAATGTTATGAATTAAGTTAATGTTTTTATATGTAAAAAAATCAAAAATTGCTCAGTTAAAAGTATGAATAGATTTCAATAGTTTTAGTGGAACATTTGATTTTCAGTGGGAGGGGGGATTTTTCTGCTGATGGATTATTCATTTTACACCTGTTGATAGTGCATCTTATTCATTTAGCGCGAAAATTATTTTCACGTTTGGTACACAACTTTTTCTTGCAAAGTCCTGCAATAAATAAAAAAAAAAAAAAAAAGAACATTCATTTTTATCCTGTTTAGGACTAAGGTTATTTTTTTACTGTTAGTACCAGTCTAGCATTTTATTTTCCAAAATCACACCAAGGGTGACTGGTGAATAGAGGTATGGTAACTTAGGTCTTCTTCCGATCGGCAGTAAAACCCTTGCCGAAGTGCAGCATCCGTTTGGCTGTGCTTGAGGTACAAGTACTCAGCAACGTCCGGTCAGAATGGGGACATTAAATCCGATGCCTCGTGTAGAGAGAGTGCCACGCTCTCTGCATTTTATGAACCCTTGCAACAACTCTTTGAAGGGTCCGTAGGTGGCCTGTTGCAAGGCAAAATTTCTGTCCCTATCCAATATACTCTCATTTTCCAATGCCATTATGGCAGTCCAAATTTCCCCGATCTTCATCCCGGACGGCCTTTATTACAAGAATTACGTATTGTATTTATAATGAATTTGTTCTCGTCCTGAACATGCATGAAATATTTGACACTGGTGTTGGGCATCTTTAGAATGTCAAAGTTCTCCTAATCAATAGAACGATTTTCTGAAGGTACCGACCTTTCATTTTCGTGGGACAAATCTTTTTTATTACTTTAATAAAACAAACTTTTCTTTTTCAATAACATACAGGGGCATGTTTAATCCCCCTCCCTTCAATTTCAATGGAATCAAATGATTCTTGGACGTGAACAATCCTCATATACAGGTTATTAAAACAGATGTACAGATGAGAATAAATTTAATGTGAAACCAGTGTTCGAATTCATTACATGAAGCTAATTGTAAACAGTACTACAGTACGCGACGTTTGGTATGAACATTTAATTTACTCAAAACAAACTTTTCGTTTTTAGATACAGAGTGGTAGAGATGAGCCGTGTTGAATAAGGTACTATTCCAAAATACCTACAGTAACATGAGTAATGTCTGATAAAGACGAGAAATTTAGAAATCAGATTGAATAGATGGTAAGGTTAGCTGCATATTATACATCATAGATATCTGAAACTGAATCAAATGTCGGTATTTATCAAAGATGCGACTAAAACCAGTCATAAATTCATCAGATATTTTTCAAATCTAATACATTCTCTATAAATATCATAATAGGTCTATTGTTTGTAAAAATAATTTGAAAGGGTATGGGTGTGTATTTTGTTATATTAAAATTAATGAAAAGGGTGTAGTACTTGATGTCTCAGTGCTCACCCGACTACAAAAGTATGCCCCCCCCCCCCCTTTTTACGAATTTTACACATAATCTATTCGAAACGATATAATATAACCAGAAGCAACCTTCTTGAAACGATGTTTCTCATATCAACATATTTGATTAAGACATCATGTAGCAAAATATCTTTTTGGATAAGCAACTGATACTCATATTGCTAGTGGCAATTTTGACACTTTCACTAGTTTTTTTTTCCTAGGCAATTTGAAGTTTTAAAAGCAAATATACAAGAAAGATATTGGTTTTAAAAAAATCAATACACGAACACACTTCACACACCTGAATTTTATTTGGTCAAATGTATAATTAATTTTTACTTCGAATAGGCCACATATGCAACAATAAATAATCATCAGCCTGCATGATGGTTTATTGTATATTCAAAGAAGAAGAAGTGGCAAAACAACAAATGATACCCCCAAAAAAATTAACTATGGAAAAATAAAACGATATTTCATATCATAATTTTATCAGGAATTAACTGTTTTATAAAAGATCATAAATCATAGTTATTTCCTATTGCTATTGTTTTATGCACGTAAAGGTGATATCTATTTAACAATATAAAGTCAAATTTGTTCCGCCATCATTTATCTTCCTTTTAAAATATACATGTACCTAATCATTAAACAATACTTTTCAGTATGTATATTCTATAATTGAAAGAGTGTTTATCGTGCGATCTATAAAAATTTGAATTACTAAATGCTTGTATTTGATCCCATTGTTAACTAGTTTTGTATACAATTAATTAGTTTAATATGGTGAATATTGACCAATAGTATCGAAAAGAAGCAAAAATATAAACTTATATCAGACTAATTAAAGGATAAACCCTTTTTATCGTTTGTCTTATAATATGTTATTTTCCCACGACTTGATATATAAGGGTTTGAGGCAGTTAGTTTTTATTCCCACATAAACAGCAGAATAATGCATCAGTTTTTAGCTTTAAAGGTAAGAAATGAAACAAAAGTTTCTCTCAAAATAAGTAAACATTAAAAAAATTATTCGACCTAATATTACTCCATTAGAAAGGTATGACCAATTTCTAATCATGATCAGAATATTTTTTAAACCTTTTAAAGTTACGGAAGGTGATTAGCGTCAAAATTCTGTAAATTCTGGGCAATCTTAAGGTGGCACGGTAGTATTTCCTGGCCCATAGGGATAATGATAGCTGTTTTAGAATTTTCACCACTTTCTAACACTGCCCAAAATTCTACATACACAGTTAACTGAAGTACTTTCATTATAATATTCAGAAATATATTTGAATATGTATCATGACCGTTTACTTTTTTTGCTATCTTTAAAACCTAAGGCCACTAGTGTTTTTAGGTCTTTTATCATGCAGTGAATACAAAATTTAAAAAAATTCTCAAAAATTCATTTTTACCTGTACATAAAATGATTTCATATTTTTCTACTCTACACCTGATTCATCCCTCAGTTTGGGAATCTATGTTCAGTTGATACTCTATTTTTTGTCCAATCACACTGTTCAGATACATTGACTTAAGTAGGGTACACAAAAGAGCAATCTAAATTCCGAAATGCAAATACTACCGTGTCACCTTATCAAAGACATCACAAACTTGAAACCATTCATGACACTTATAATGCATAGACTTCTTACTAGGAAACATATTACAATAAAGAATACTAGTCTGCACTTATTTCTTACCAAAAATAAAATAGATTATACCCCTACCCGAGCTGGCAGATTTTCATTTTTTTTTCATCTTACCATTTTTACTTAAGGAGTGAACAAAACCCAAATATATGATGTTTCAAATCAACACAGACGTAAAACATGGTGATTCAGAAGGAATTATTGGAATGCCAACTCTATTTCTAGTTAATCTGACTTAAAGAAACAGTTTAAGTACCAAATCATGAAAAATGATAGTAAAGTCCATTCTTAATTTTACAGCATGCCTTACATCATGTACATTCCTTTAAGTATTTCCAGATTATTATGACAACATAACAAGATTCTTTAGATGGCAGTTAACTATTATTCTAAAATCTTTTTGACAATACATGTACTAGAATATATCTCTAAGTTGACTGTTTGTCTATTTCTCATGTATGCATTAAGTTAAATTATGTCCCCTTACATAATCAATTTACCTTTATTGTGCTTTTCAGGGTCAGAAAATCAAAACAATTCATGACATTTGCATGGAAAATGAATAAACTATTTAATCTTGCTGATATACAATCATAATCACATTCTGTGTCCAAAAAAAATCTCTTGTCAATGTAAAGAAACCCCTAATGATATCTCTATTTCAGCTAAATATGAGGACTAAATGAATAAGTAAGGACCCCTCAACCACTTACTGGTTCCAAAAAAGCTCATACTGGTGTCATGTTACCACAGAACTACAAATTAAACCTGAAGAAAACTAGTATAGATGTACTTGTGTGGAAAAAAATAAGAAATTATGCACTTTATTTATTTCGGTGAAAATTATAGGACGTACAGGCAACTAAAATATGTCGCGTCTCAAATTCCAGTTCTTGCACATGTATCAGACACTGCGAAAAGTTAAAGCGAGCATTTATAATTAAAAATGTACTGCAAGTTTTATAAAAATTATGAATTTTACTTTCTAGGTAAATTTTTACATTATTACCCACAGATCAGGCAAAATTTGCTGAATCAGCAATTTTCACTCCCAGGGGTGGAATTTAAGGGCTGTTTTTATTCTAGTTGACCTTAATCAACTTTTTATTGATAAACTTACAAATTGAACAGGTAAAATAAAATCTCTTTATTGTTTTAGTGTAAACATATATATCCCAGTTAAGGTGGCACGGTTGTATTTCCTGGCCCATAGGGATAATGATAGCTGTTTTAGAATTTTCACCACTTTCTAACACTGCCCAAAATTCTACATACACAATCAACTGAAGTACTTTCATTATAATATTCAGAAATGAATTTGAATATGTATCATGACCGTTTACTTTTTTTGCTATCTTTAAAAACCTAAGGCAACTAGTGCTTTTAGGTCTTTTATCATGCAGTGAATACAAAATTCTCAAAAATTCATTTTCACCTATACGTAAAATTATTTCCTATTTTTCTACACCTGATTCATCCCTCAGTTTGGGAATCTATGTTCAGTTGATACTCTATTTTTTGTCCAATTACACTGTTCAGATACATTGACTTAAGCAGGGTACACAAAAGAGCAACCTAAATTCTGAAATGCAAATACTACCGTGCCACCTTAAATATTAGTTTCCTACATTGTAAATATTCTATTTATCTATACTGCATTCTTTCGCTTTCGTCTTTGTAACATTCTCCTAACTATCATACTGATTGTTCCCTTCATTTATATCTAGTTGCTTATTTCCCTTTTCGTTGGCAAATTTGTTTCATTTTCTCTCTCAATTTACATTATGATGCATTTAACGTGTACCTAACCATTCGTGCATAATGCCACACCAATTTGATTCCTAGTTCTATGGATTTTTCCGCTCCTATTTTGGAGAAATTGACCGCTTGAGGATTGCTGCTCACAAGGAAGCTTTTAAACCAAGAGTTCCAAGTGGTGAAGTTGAAATCAGCCCTTCCCCGGCCCGAATGTGACCTACCGAATTAGACTTATTACCGGGTTTGTACTAACATGAGCAACACAACGTGTGCCACATGTGGAGCAGGATCTGCTTACCCTGCCGGAGCACCTTGTTTGTCTGTTTGTCTTTATCTTTTTAAGCCATGACGTTATCAGTTTATTTTCGACTTATGAGTTTGAATGTACTTTTGGTATCTTTCGCCTCTCTTTTTCCACAAATGTGTGTTCTGCATCCGCTCCAAATTTGCTTCTTCTTGATTTTTGCTCACATAGACGCTTTTTTTATTACATACGATGCTCCAATTGTTTCAAACGCACATGTGATAAATCAATTTGTAAATAAAAAGTCAAAAATCGAGATGCCAACATGCAGTTGTGTCAACTCGCTGTCGATGATAGGCAGATATTGAATACACAGTGATCCGATATGCTTCTCGTTTTTACCTTTGAAGGCTTGTTCTAGGAAGCAAAAATTAAAGTCTTTCATTAGATGACCCAAACACATCACTATTTGTTAGAATCATCGGTATCCCCCATTCTTCTTTCAATAGGCGGAAACCTATCTGTCTTGAATGACATACATTGTAAATTCCTCTGAACTTATTTAAAAAATCACAGAAGTATTGGATTTTGATGAAACCCCATATCCCCCGATTAGTCTTTTGGCATGCAAACAGAGCTCGTCTTTTGTTAGGGCGAATTTAGAGAGTACCAACGAGATCAAGGTGATGGTGTTGTGATTGGCATATTCGTCATAATTAGGGTTTTGTAATTGGTTCAACTACTTCTTGTCGAGCTAAAGAGTTTTTAATGATAAGGAATAAAAGGAAAGAGTAATTTGCTCAATCAGAGTAAAGTATCTGAATTGGGTGACAGGCATTGGAATGGAAAATCTTAATACATTGGGATCTACATGAAACAATGTTATTTTTATACAAATTAAGAAATATTCACCTCGCTCATTATTTTGATCCTGAATATGGATAAATAGTTCTAATTGGACGTTAGCAATAAATAAACAATTATTAGATTCATTACCATATAATGAAAACAACTTCTATCATATATCTTGCAGGGTCATTTGTTTGGATACATACAAATATATTTTAATTTTCTTCAACATGTGTCATTTACCTAACGAGCATAATTCCTCTTATAGAACCTTTGAATGGATTCACCCTAAAGAAGAGTACTATCGTAATTGTGATAGCTACCAAACTAAAGCAGTCCCCAAAAGACATCTAGAGGCAAATACAGTCTTAAACAACAGAAGACTGGTGTCAGTCATTAAAAATCCCTAAATTGGCTTTATTATAATAATTGTCACACTGTTAAAGGGTTAGTCAACAATTCATTTTGGCATGAAGTTATTGCGCTGACATATGAACAACGCTTTGCGGATAAGCATTATGTTTCATTTAGATTAAATACCTTTTATGAAGCTCCATTGAATTATTGCTTTTATAATTGAAAAGAAAGAGTAAATATTTCAAAGTCGGCGTTCCAAAATTTCATTGAAGCCAGGCAAACTACATCGACTAGTACGGCCTTCAAATACCCAGTATGCAACTTTCAAATACAGTACTGCCAATCAGTGATTTGTATAAAATCTATAAATGTATTTTCAAGCGTGATGTTGTTAGGTTCCTGACTCATCGACGCATACTTAACATCTGTTTTCATATACATTCAAAATTTTATTCATTTCTTTTTTATAGATGTTTGTTTTTTATGCTCTACTGCAAAAATACCAGACTGCATTTCATTCAGACTGCCGAGAACCTTGCATACTGCCAGATCTTATGAAAGCAATAGAAGATGTATCAACAGAAACTACTTGGATCCAACCTCATATTGTACCAGACAATACTTTTATAGCAACGAAAAATATTACCTATGAACCTATTGGTGAAGTGAAAAACTGTAGAGATTACATCAGAAGAAACAATGTTGTGTATTCTGCTGATAATGTCGGATTTGAACCTGTCTCTATAGGATCAACATGTCCCTGGTACTTTGTACGTAATATCGATCCAAATAGAATTCCTCGAGTTATTACTGAGGCTGAATGTGCATGTAAATGTTGTGGAAAGCCAGACCAGCAATGCAACCATAACCGTTGTTCAATTTCCCACAAGCCTAAACTCTGTCAAAAAATTTACACACACAGAATAGTTCTTAGGAGAACGGGATGTGTGAATGGAGAGTATACATATAGACAGTATATTGAACCAATTAGTGTAGGTTGTACTTGTTCACGCTGTCCCAAACCCATAACAAGACGAATGCGGAGTTAAAACCTTTGGTAATGTTTTCATGTCACAGTTATAGTCATTGTAGCTGGTTATTAACAAGAAACATGTAAACAAAACGAATTACTAATTAAAGCTGGCTTGTGAATTGTCAAATGTATATGTTAACAAGTTTGTGTGTGTGTGTGTGGAGGGGGATGAAATATTAGCGCTCGAGATAGAGAAAGAGAGAGAGAGATTGCTTGACTAAAATAAACTAGAAACTATATGAAAGTTCTTTGTGTTCATATTTAGTTATTGTTCAAAGTCAAACAAAATTTGGACAAGGACATGGTTTACAGTTACCAATTTTGAATGGTTGTATTGCTACTTTAAGTGTATGTACATCCAGTATTATTTGGCTTGTGAATGTTTACTTTTACTGCTCCGGTAAGTTTATCAAATACACTTTCCAATAGGTGATGGCATTAATGTTGAACAGTGTCCCCTATCCCGTCTGGGTTTATTCCTTGAATGCCTGCATTGGTCTACCGACAAAATACAGTTAAAATATGTTGGCATTCAAGGAATAGTGTTTTTATAAAAATTAAGTGCAGTCAGAACAAACAATAATTATAATTTGTGCAGTTAAGCTTAGTCTTCCAATTAAAATGTAAGGTAATATTACCATTTTATCTGTTTGTAATGCATAAATATACTTTTTCTGTTTATTTGAACTGAAGATTTTTTTTGGAAGGAATAAAAACCGTTTACCTCCGTTTGACAGCTCAGTGAAAGCATATTAAAGATAACAAGAGTAAGGCATAACTATTTGCTAAGGATGCAGTCCTTTTGCGCCAATTGTTATTTTTAAGATATATAATTTGCGGCATATCTTATTTTTTAAGGTAACAATTGCGCCAGAATAGGGAGTTTATATGCACCAAATTACATGTATGCATATTTATCAAATGATATATGTTAACCCCGATAAATATCTTAGATATCTTTAGCAAATACTTTGTGGAATAAATTTGAGTATTGTAGCATACAGAAGAGTTGACATTTATAAGGTGGTGCTGTACAACTGCATTACTGCTTTGATTGAAAGAAAGGTGCATCAAAGTTAGACGAAAGAACTAAAAACAATTTCAGAAAAAATATTTTAGAATTGTATTGACAACGTCGTTTTCTTAAATGGTATGATTGTAATTGTAGCATGATTTTAAGATTCTTTGAAACTTTTCTGTTGGGATGCATATGTTGTATTAATTGATGGTACATTCAAGTGGTATCGTCACTTGCTTTCATTTCGATTTTTTGGTATTTTCCTCTAAAACATCTTCTAGCTTGGTGAAAATTAAAATAAAATTTTATCAATGAAATAGCATAATCGTATACTTAATATTTGACTCAAATGATATAATGGATCCTAAAACCTAGTAGCGCATACGTATTATTGGCGCAAACGAGTTGTGGCACAAAAGGACGCATTTTTGGCGCAAATGGAGCCAATAATCAGGTAAACAAACATATGATTAGACTTTAAAATAAAGAACAACAATAAGTAGAACAGTCCATTTCGGTAATTTTTTTTCTACAGATTATTGATGTTTAAAGTAAGGCCGATTAATTCACAAACTGAATACAATCATGTAAACTTTGAACTTGTATGTTATGTTAGTGAGACAACAGCCAGTTCCCACACCAATAACATCTAAAAAGATATGCTTCATCTTAATATTCTCAACCAAGTATAAAAATAAGATGTGGTATGATTGCCAATGAGACAACTCTCCACAAGAGACCAAAATGACATAGAAGTTAACAACTATAAGTTACCGTACGGCCTTAAACAAACTTGTATCATTAAATCTTTATCTTGACGTCTTTGTGATAGTCACTTTATTACTATATTTTGGTTTTTTTTTTGCATATTGTTTAAGTCTTAAAATTATTTTTTTTGGAAATTACTTTATCTGTCCTTTTTGTTGTCGATCTTTCAAAGGGAAAAAATACACATACCGAGCTTGATAAATTGCAGAGATACTTGTCTATTGTTTTAGACTGTATGTTGGCCTCTCGTTGTAATTTACTTATTTGTGTCTGATGTGATTATCTTATTATTATCGTTGGGTGTTGACTCATTGACGTATACTCTAATTCTTCTTTTATTTATTCTTGCCAATCAATTGGTGTCAAAATAAACTCGTTCAATCTTACCGCGAGACCGCTTATGCAACAGATATAACCCTTTGGAAAACACGACGGTAACCGCTAGTTGACCAGGATCTGCTTACCCTTTCGGAACACATGAGATCAGCCACGGTTTTAGATTTGATTCGTGTTTCTAAATCGTAACTTTTCTGTGTGGTGTTTTGTTTGTCATTTCATCGTTTTTCTTTGTGGCAATGGTAATTTCTTTCTGTTTTTTCTGCGACTTATGATTTTGTATTGTCCCTTTGATATCATTTGACTCTTTTTTATATACTAAACCATTATGTTGAATAAAAAAAAAACTGATGCCAAATGTCAAAGGAAAACATATAAAATAACACAAAACACCATCATTTCTATCATATTTCTGATTCAATCAAGGACCTTTGTTTTCGTGTAAGTAGCCATTATTGTTATTTGGTATGGACAAACTCATGTCTATTATTGAAAAAGTAAGTTGCATGGTTTGGTTTTAATATATTAGTGGGGTTGAGTCTGTTTGACATATACTCCTTCGCTGATTTTAATCGGACTAAAAACTGCATGTGGTAATAATATGTGTAAGCAATCAATTTGAAAGCCAATCATCGTCAGGACAAAAGAGAAATAACTCAATTTCAACCGATATAAAGTCAGACAGGCCAAATGAAAAGAAAAAAAATTTCCTCAATGAAATAAATCGACGCCCCATATAGTGTAGGATAATAAGCTACCTGTCATTCGACACTTGATACCGCGGGTTAAATTGGAGTTCAGCATTCATTCATGTTCGTTAGCGTTGCTGTATTTGTCGTGGTTAGTTTTTTTTACCTATCTGTTGATGTGTTTATGCTAGTTTTGAAATGTCTGTACATTTATTAGTGTTAGAAAAAAAAAATTACCAATTGGTTATTGTGTAATGCAATGTGATATCATCAGTTATGACTCGTCAGCAGAACAAAAGTAACTCGATTGGTGTCACTTGTGGGACTACTGCCTACCCTTCCAGAGCACATGAGTTCGCTTTCCGTGTTTCTATTACTCGATCTTTTCTTTTGGATTAGATTCTGTGTAGTGTTTTGTGGAATATTAGTTTTCCGTCTTTCTTTTTTTCATTTCGGCCATTTTGTTGTCTTTTTAATTATTATAAACGTATGATTTTGATTGCTCTCGTTGTTTCATCTTTCCCTGGTTATTACTTGAACCGCATTCAGATTTTTTTTTATGTATTTTTGTTTTTGTTTTTCTAGATTATCGATATCAAATTGTGTGTTTATCTGGCGTCTTAATAATCTCGAAGGTATAGATAAAGAATGAAAGTGTAGATATATATTTCGTCATTATTTTTGGGCCAAGTTATCAATTCAAAGGTAATGAGTTGAGTACGTACGCGTGATATATCAGCTGCTCACACCTACTACAGAAGGATTGAAGTATCCCCTCTCGAGTTCTACACTAAACCCATTCGACACGATAAAATATATCCAGAAGAAGCCTTACTTGGATTGATCGTTCTCATATCAACATATTTGTTTAAGACATCATGTAGCAAAATATCTTTTTTGATAAGCAACTGTTACTCATATATCTAAATATTATTTACAAGCAGCGTGTGTTTTTTAAAAGACATATATTTATTCAAAGAATGTCCATTTAGACAAAAATCTAGATTTCCATAAATGTAAACAGTCAAAATTCTTGAAATTGATAAGTCAAAATCTTCCATTTAATTATGTATTTCTTACATATATGAAATAATACAAGAGAAAATTAACATCAGAGTTATTTAAAGTATATATATTTTTCCTGTAGGGGCCTTTTATGTATAATGATTTTTCTCATTGTTGAAGGCCGTACAGTTGCCTATAATTGCTTTTATCCACTTCATTTGAACTTTGGTGGATAGTTGTCTCATTGGCAATCATACCACATCTCCTTATTTTTTATATTAATGGATGCTTACGATCCTGACCTTACATATGACCTCAGAATAAATAATGGTAGTCCGAAATGTGAAGATTTGGGCCCTTCTTGGAAAGAATTAGAATCATTTTAGAATGAAAAGACGGCTGTTCGTGCAAGTCGAGAAGCTGACCATGAGTACATGCCTTGTGCAATTACCTTGTCCGATTCACGTAACCAGATATAACACGCTTGCCAAACGAAGCCCTTATTCCAAGTTTGTCTGCAAAAAGGTACTATTTTTGGCCACCTAGTACAAGTCACAATAATACAGCTAATTATTAAGGACGATTAAAGTCAAATTTACAGTACCACGAAAACTTCTGCATGGTCAACATGAAGATAAATGCTTTGGAACACATCGATTCAGTTTATATAAGGAAAAGGTAGTTAGATGGAAAGCACACGCAGGAATCATTTCATTAAATGATAAGGCCATAGCCCAGTTGGAGAAACTGCTCAGCCATTATCTACTGGGGTGAGACCTCACAACAGATGAATGACACTTAGGATGGATCATAAGTTGCACTTGACTAT